TGACCTTTTCCAATGCACTTTTCCTTGGCAACTCAGTATTAAATGTTCCATTATTTATTGTTCCAATTCCTATAGAATCACCTTCGAATTTTGGATTGAATAAATGTATTGAAGTCCCAGTAATCCCTTGATTATTCAATTGTTCATCTCTCCACTTTCTTGCCAGATGTCTATCAGGTCAAGAACTCTAGAATAGAAAGCCATAGATCAGATCAAAATATTAAACACCAAGTACCAGTTCAGCTTGAAGCCTTTGAACATAAGATAACCTCAAAGATTACCTATGCCCTAATATCTGCATAGGTGCTAGGTCAGCTCGAAGCCTTGAACGTAGGGTAACCTCAAAGATTATCTACACCCCAACACCTACACTGCTGCTAGGTCAGCTCAAAGCCTTGAACATAAGGTAACCTCAAAGATTATCTATACCCCAACAACAGCTTTGTCTAAAACTTTGAATCTGCCTGTTTTTATACCTTCCTGTTTGTATTTGTTAAGAAGTAGTTGTGCTCTTTCATTTCTGCTGCCAGTTTCATTGCTAACAATTGTCTCAAGACATGTAATATATTGTTCTATTTTTTTATCAAATGTATCCATATCAGATTTATTAAGGAAATCCAAAATATTCCAATCTGTGGATTTGCAAGTGAAATATTCATACATTCTGATATGAAAACAGAATTGATAAATAGACTTTCTTATTTATTATATAATATATAATTTAATGAATTTAATGGTATCTTGTGTGATTCCAAAATAAATTATGTACAAGTAAGAACATTATGTCACAGGTGAAAAATACCAAGAGAAAAAAAGATCAAACTAAACAGACCTACCTTAGGGAGGTGTTTGATGATATAAACGGTGGTTAACATGGTGATTTTTATTCTTGAAAGTTGTAATATTTGTAAAGATCAATACGCGACAACATTGATCACAATAATAATAAAGAGAGCAAATTTGATTGGCCCAGAATACTGGACTTTCGATTCGTGTAACGTGACTATAAAAATAAATTTTTATTATTAGAACCACGTTTTGTCATTTTGGACGTAAATTGTTTTTCCAAAAGAAAAAAAAAATCAATCAATTCGCGTCTGTCCCCCCAAAAAAAATCTTCCAAGTGCCAACGCGTTTTGGAATTTTTTTTTAATTTTTTAAAAAAAATTAAAATGCCTAATAAAAGAAACCAAGATTTTGTTGATCCAAATGGAAGAAATGGGTAAGTGTTATTTATTTAAAAGAATGAGGTTATTGCCATTTGTCTTCATCCTAGTCTAAATCCAACTTTCACATATGCCAATTTAAATTGACGCGAATTTAGATTCGATGTAGAAAATACATGTGATATAGGAAAACACGACTGCTGTAAGGGAGAAAACAAATTATCCATAAAATTTTCGGATTCTAGATGGGGTCATATTCATTTTCGAGATTACAACGAAAAAAATATATTCATTAATTATATGATGAAAATAGAGATGCCATTATTGGACCAAACAATCAACGTTACATTTTCAAGTTTCTAAGATTTATTTGACGATTATGATGATATCAATGACATTAACAATGTTGATAATGAAGATCAACAAAGCTTCTATAATATCAATGATATCGAAGATAATAATGATTATCTAATGACAATGATATTATTCACAATAACTATAATAACTTACCTGATGCCAATGTCATCGGAAACAACGTATCCGAATCTGGTGGTGACAAAGCTGTTGATAACATCGTATCCGAATTTGGTGACAATGCCATTGGTAACAATTACAACAATTATAATGTTCATTTATCTAATGATGATGATAATTATCTAGGTAGTAGTGGTAGCATTATTGATGATAGTAGTAGTAACAATGACAAAAATGCAAGTTATTAATTTTTAATCATTTAATTGTTAATAAATAAAAATTACAACAAAATTTTTTTATTCTTGGAGTGAAGTTCCTTTCACAATGATCAATAACGGGTATTGTTGTACTATTCTATTTCTCTTTAACATCCCCAACAGATTTTCATTATTTATTTATTTATGTTACAAAGTGACTTTGTTTTCGTTGTCCTATATCACCAAATGATAACAAAAGAAACTAAGGGTCAATTGAAAATTGATGTTGAAGATGATGACATCACTGTTACAGTTAATGGAGATTTTTTCGAAATTGTTCTGACATTTCCAGAAAAGTAAGATTTATTTATACAATTAATATTCAAAAAAATTTTGATTATTTATGTACCATTTCTTTTGAAAAGAATAAAAACAGAGACAAAGAAATGATGACATTATTTTTTAAAAGAAGGTTAGAGGGAAGAAACAAATGAAACTAGAATGATTTTTTTCATTTTCATCACTTGTTGTAATTTTGATAAATCTTTGGTGGTAATAATATCAATAGTGCTACTTCAGATAAAGAAGTTATCTCTTTATTATATTTTAATAAGGGTCATTCAACTAATAAAAAATGAATTGGTTTGCATAAATGAAAAGTCCATCAAGATAAGTATAATGGAAATTTGTTGTTACCTCTCTAAGTTGGAGATCAAGTTCAGATACGATTCAAATCCAGTTTATCACTTTTCATTGCCAGAATGTTTGCCGTGTATTATAAAGTTACGTTGCACAATATAAAAAAATTAGTGTAACATTCCAAATTTCCACTATGCTATCAACAGAGAACACGTTATATTAGTAATACAATTAAAGACACATGTTGTAATCGGTTATTTGCGGCAATGGTAATTACCAGCTCAATCATTCACAGCAAGTCTCTTTAAGTACAATGATGATAACTAAATTTTGAACCTTGAAATTCTTGGTGACACCAACGTTCACTTTTGTCTGGTTTTGTTACAGCATACCCCATTTAAAGACGTCAGATATGTTAATTGATCTACTTTTTCCGAGGTTTCAGAAATGTTCTTTCTTTAGCATCTGATTCCACGAAATTCTCAATATTAATATTTTTGATTGTTGATCTCTCGTTCAATATTTTTTTATGCAATTATAAAACTAATTGTTGTAATTTACTACGTGACTGACCAAAAAATGCACGATCAGTAATTAAAATCCAAAATAAATAGATAAATCTAAAATCACAAAAAAAAAAAACATAATTACTTTTTATTTGCCATAGTCAAAAGGGTAAATTCCACTTATTTTTTTTAAAAAAATCAAAACATTATCAAGTTACTAATTAAGTATCAAATGATTTATATAATAATAAACCATATTAATATTAATTCGCAGATCGTTTAATTTTTAATATTAATAATAGAAAATTACGGGACACACTTATTTATTTGTTTACTATATAAATAAAAAAATAATTGACTGACTGTTTGTAAATGGTTATACAATATATAGATTTTATATTCACTAATGTTATTGTACAAATCATCCATTGGAAAAGAAAGTGTAAATGTAAATAATAATACTTTTTTGATATTAATTACCCTGATGCAACACGTGACTGATCATAAAATATATATTTATATTATATATATATATATGAATTCTATTTTTAAATGTTCAATAATGTTTATAATAATAATGATAATAAATAATATGAATTACTATATATATAATGTTTTATATTTATACATCTATCTATAAGTTCTATCTATTATACTAAAGTTGGTTAAAGTTATATTAATATTAATAATAAAAAAAAGTAATAGTAAATAATCGAACCAAAAAAAAAAGGAAATGAAAATTTTTTTTCAAAGAAATTTACCAAAGAATCTAGCACAAAATAATGATTCGGTCAAATCAACATCAACACAACTTAATATACTTTTCATTTGCTCGCTATCCCTAACACTAGACCAATTCTTATTAATATATTTCAATGCAGTATTATTTAAATCTGAATTATTAGTATTCCATCCCAACAACAAAATCTCACTCCAATTATTTTTATCAATCATTTTAATAAATTTTTTTGCAGTCAAATCTTTTAATTCCTCCAAATCTCTCATATCTGCTTCTGAATAAATATCTTTTAAAACATTAAATGATAAATTATCTTGAATTCTATTGGTATACAAGAAATATAAAATTTCTTTGAAACATTCAGATGATATATCTTCATCCATCTTGATAACGTTTGAATTGGATTCACTCCATTCTCCGTTAAACATTTTCTTAAAATAGTCTGATCTTATTGATAATATTATTTTGCTTGCTTTCAATTGATTGCCACATCCAAATTCAAAAGTTACATCACTAAATTTCTCATTATTAATATATTCTTCCAAATCAAAACAAATTGGGTTTTCAATAATCGCTAGTTGTTTGTTTGACTCTTCGTCCTCACTAGTATTCGCATTGATTTGATTTAAAGAAGGATATGTGAATTGGATACGAATCAATAAATTAGTTTTTTGCTTGTAATCTTTATCAGGGAATATTTGACTAATTTTACAAAACTCGGGTACGCCTTGACATGGTCTATCTGAATTAAATATAAATTTTTTCTCTGATAAATATCCATAACAATCCAACTTTTCCAAATTCTTCTCATCTAGAGCCAACAAGTAATTATTATTACTATTATTGCCATTATTATTGTGTATTCTAAAAATTTCTAGCTTAAACTTCATAACCCTTGTTTCTAACTTATACTCTTGTTCATGTTCACTTTGAATAGGCCAAATATACAAGGAGATATAACTATCTATATGTCTAGGTAATAATTTTAGCCGCCAAATAAACTCATGATTATCTTTTAATACATTTCCGTCTTCTGAATAAAGTGGTCCAGTTGAACAAAATTTTTCACTATAATACGATTGACAATTTTTATAATTGTAGAATTCTTGAAAATCTTCTATAAGCCAGTCATAACTATTTATATGTTTAGTTTTTGTCATATTACTGTTAAAAATTTTTTTTAGTAATGAAAAAAAGGAATGAAATAGAGGTTGGAGGATGAAAATAAAAGAGAAGGGTGGTGATTTTGGTCAAAAGTTTATTATTATTCCTTGGGAAATTAATTTATTTTAAAAAAAAAATTTTTATTCTAGCTAGTATTAATTTTATTGTATTGTTTTTGTTTTTGTACGACGTTCTAGTTAAATTTATGCATTCATTTATTTTAATTTAACGAAAGAATACAACTCAATCAAATCAGTGCAACATACTTTGTAACAATTTAGAAAAGATTGGCAATATTT